GAAGGGGGGGAGGCAGGGAGAATGGGGGAGAGGGGAAGGCGACGCGCAACGACTGAAGCGGCAGGCTCCCAGGTGCAAACAGCAGCAAATGAGGGGAGGGAAGACGGTAGGAGACGGAGGAGGAGGTGGAGGAAGATTGAGGCGAGGACGGGCGAGGAGCGAGGAGCGGGGAGGAGCGTGGAACGGAGGAGCGTGGAGCGGGGAGGAGCGAGGAGCTGGGAGGAGCGAGGAGCGGGGAGAGCGAGGAGTAAGGAGCGGAGAGCGAAGAGCGAAGAGAAGGGAGAGGTCGTTGTCGTCGTGGCCGCCGCCGCCGTCCTCCTCGTCGCCGCTCACCCACCCACCCCGGGGTCCAGGACAGCACTCTCCGCGGCATCCAGAGAAGGTGTCTCACCCACGTGGGCCCCTGCCGCGTGGGGTGGGGGCGAGAGAAGCGAAGGCGGAGGGAGGTCGAAATGATGCGCAGGGAGGTGATAGGTGGAGAGGAGGTGGAGGGAGGTAGAGGTAGAGGTAGGTGGAAAGTGGGGGGAAAGACAAGCGGAGGGTGAAGATAATGAGGGCGAGGAGGAAGATGACGAGGCGGAGGACCACGAGGACGGCGGCGACGACGAATCATTCATCACCAATCACTCATCGCCCATCACCCATCACCGATTATCCAGCATCCAGCATCCACCACACAGCATCTGGAGCCACCCATCCCATCACCTATCACCAAAATGACATCACCACCGTCGCCGTCGCAATCACCCTCACCATCATCACCCTCATCACCATCACGATCATCAGCACCAGCAGCATCATATCAGACAGCGTTAACTCCAAATAGATAGGAGGACAGGAGGAGGACGAAAGGAGGACGGGAGCAGGACAGGAGGAGGACAGGACGAGCAAAATGCAAGCGGAAGCATGCAAGCGCAAGCGAGCAATAACAAGCAAGCAAGAGCCAGCGATCAAGTGCAAGCAAGCAAGGGCAAGCAAGGACAAGCAAGCAAGAGCAAGCAAGCAAGCAAGCTAGCAAGAGCAAGCAAGCAAGAGCCCGCGATCAAGTGCAAGCAAGCAATAGCAAGCATAGGACTCGCCATTGGAAATAGCTGGGGGGGGCCATTGGAAATATGGGGGGTGCCATTGGAAAAAAGGGGGAAGGGGGGTGCCATGGGAAATGAGGGGGGGTGCAATTGGAAAAAGGGGGGGGTCCTAAAGACCAATTACTTATGATGAGCTAGGACTCCTATAGGGCAAGCCCATTTGGAGAATCATCCAGATCGGCATCCTCGTAGTCTTCTTCAGAATCATCCTCATCATCATCATCATCATCCTCATCCTCATCAGCATCAGGTCCTCATCAGCATCATCATCATCATCCCCTCATCATCATCTCATCATCATCAATCATCATCATCATCATCATCATCATCATATCATATCATCATCTCATCATCATCATCCTCATCATCCTCCTCCTCCTCCTCCTCATCATCATCATCATCATCATCGTCATCGTCATCGTCATCATCATCATCATCATCATCATCATCATCATCATCATCATCATCATCATCATCATCATCACCATCATCAGCAGCAGCATCATCAGCATCAGCATAATTATCATCAGCAGCATCAGCATCAGCATCATCATCAGCATCATAATCAGCATCATCATCAGCATCATAATCATCATCATCATCATCATCATCATCATCAGCATCATCATCATCATCATCATCATCATCATCATCATCATAATCATCAGCATCAGTATCAGCATCAGCATCATCATAATTATCCTTTGCATAAGCATCAGCCGTAACATCATCAGCAGCAGCATCATAATCAGCAGCATCAGCATCAGCAACAGCAGCATCATCAGAATCATCATCGGCAGCATCATCATCGTCATCGTCATCACCATCGTCATCATAATCATCAGCAGCATCAGCATCATCACCATAATCGTCATCATGATCGTCATCATCGTCAGCATCATCCTCATCAGCATCATCATCGTCGTCATCGTCAGCAGCATCAGCATCATCATTATCAGCAGCATCAGCATCAGCAGCAGCACTAGCATCATCATCAGCATCGTCACCATCAGCATCGTCATCATCATGATCATCATCATCATCATCATCATCATCATCATCATCATCATCATCATCATCATCATCATCATCATCATCATCATCGGCAGCAGCATCATCATAATCGTCATCGTCAGCATCACCATCATCCTCATCATCAACATCATCATCATTATCATCATCAGCAGCATCATCATCATGATGATCGTTGCCATCGTCATCGTCAGATCAGTGCAACACTCCCAGATCACTGCCACAACCATTTCACATCGTCTTTTTCCGACAGCAGCATCGACTGCATCATACTGTAGGATCATAATCGCCATCATCATCACCATCATCAACAACAGCCACAACATCAACATCAGCATGACATCAATAGCACCACAACCAAAACCATGGTCATCACCACCACCATCACCACCATCATCACCATCGTCACCACCACCGTCGTTCCTATTCCCCTTCCTCCCGCACGCGCGCCAGAGCGCCCGCGCCGGATGCGTCGAGGAGTGCGACCGGCGGCGAAAACGAAGCTGGCTGCACTCAGCAGATTCCGTATTTCCCACGCTCATCCTCCTGCTCCACTCCTCCGCTCCCCTCCTGCTCCTCCTCCTCCTCCTCCTCCTCCTCCTCCTCCTCCTCTTCCTTCCGTCTCCTCCTCCTCCTCCTCCTCCTCCTCCTCCTCCTCCTCCTCCTCCTCCTCCTCCTCCTCTTCCTACTCCTCAATTCTACGTATGCATAACCCTTCCGTGTCACGCCACAAGACGTGTCGGCACAAAGCGGGCTGGGCGTTTCGCCTGAGACCTCGAAACTGTGTATCGTCCTGAAGCTTCAGTCTCCAGCGGCTACGCGTCGGTCGGAGGAAGTAGGTCAAAACATGAAGTAGGAAGGCGGATAAAGTAGATTGGGTTCGGGCCCTCCCATAGTATCACAGAGCACAGCAAAAGTATATCGACTATTGAAGTAGGAAGGCGCTTGGAGTAAATTTGGATCTGGGAATCCAAGAACACTACTTCCAACGACCGGCGTGTACAAGGAAGGACGGCGGCTCATGTTTAAAATGCAGCTATCGCCTGAGCGCCACGCACAGTTGTCTTGAAATCACTCAACACTACAAAACACTGACGTTGTGCACATTCGTTTCGGAAACTTGACACCGCTATTAAAAACAGAGGACGGCTAATTTGTGGGGCTCGCGCCTTAGCGCCGCGCACATTCGTAATAAAAAACAGACGACGAATCTTTTTCCAAGCTGGAGTTCTCGCGTGAGACATCTTCAGGTTCAACTGGCCATCGCTCGGACGTCCATTCCCTGTGTTTTTTCCGATTTCGCGCGTGGTTTTCGCCAAATGATCAAGGATGCTCCTCGATGGTCCTCGCCGAAAGAAAATGCACACGTCCGAGCGATGCCAAGTCAATGGCCAGAATCTTGAACAGATGTCACAGCTGCACGGATGGGGGGCGGCTCCTTTTCACAGTGGGGCCCTCGCATGGAATTCAGTGACTTTGACGACCAGGAGTGCAAACATGTGCAGCAGATACAAGAGTGGAAGGTGGCCGCATTTCAAAACGAAACTCTCGCTGGCCACCTGGTCGAATTGTATGATCCTGTTGATTCGCATTCCTGCCAAATCGCTAGACGGATGCCAGGCATCTCCTGTTCAAAACGGGGCTCTCGCCTAAATGGCAGACCGTTGGAGAGCTTGTCTGGAGGACCCTTGTCGTGAAAGGGACGGATTATGGGGGGACTCGGGACGGGAGGGTGTATTGCAGCATCGTTGAGGCATCATGGGTTTACAGTTTGTTACGCTGAGCGGACCTTCGCAACGGATTTGTAGCACTCATGCGGCACATGGTGGCAAAGAAAACCATAAAACCGCCAGAGTGCAGAAATCCGCCACCGTGCCTCTGGGCACGGAGTGGGTGCGACCTCAGGTCCGTTTCCTAATCCTCTGAGCCTCAATCCCCAATCCTCTGAGCCTCAATCCCCACTCCTGAGGAATCTCTACGGGGCCCGTAGCCCAACTTCTCAAATCTCCCGGGGCTTGTCGCCTACCCCCTGGCGCTTGTCGCGTGCCCGCTGGGCTCCGGGAAGTGTTCCCGCAAGAATGTTCGGGCCCAAGAGGGCCCCAAGGCTGGCCAAGAGGGCCCCACGAGGCCCCCAAGACGATGCAAGAGGGCCCTGAGTCGCCGAAAGATCGTTCCAAGACGCCCAGGATGGCTTCAAGATGGCCCAGGAGGCCTCCAGGGCGCCCCAAGAGGCCTCTAAGAGGCTACCCAAGGAGGCCCAAAGAGGCACAAATCATTGATTTCCTGTAGGCTTTCGAAGGATTTGGGCGTGCTCGCCTTTTCAGCTTTCCAACGCTCCAAGACGCCGGAGGGGCCCCCAAGGCCACGGCCCAAGAGGCCGCCACGAGGGCCCCCAGACGGCCTAGGAGCGCCCCAGGCCCAAGAGGCGCCCAAGACGGCCCCAAGAGGGCCCGAGACGACCCCAAAGGAGCCCGAGGGAGGCCTCTCCTAAAGGGAAGATTGTGGGTTCAAGTCCCATCTAAGGTGTATTATGTAATATTGCCATCATAGCATAGCTGGTTATTGCGTTCGCTTCGTAAACGAGAGGGAACATGAACCGACAATCCGAGCCTTCCGCCCCAAGAGGCCCCCAGGAGGCCCCCCTAGAAGCGCCCAGGAGGTCCCAAGAAGCCCCCAAGAAGCCCCCAAGAGGCCCGAAGAGGCCCCAAGAGACCCAAAAGAGACCCAAAAGAGGCCCAAAAGAGGCCCCAAGAGGCCTCCAAACAGCCTCCAAAAGGCCCCGGAGAGGCCTACCACGAGATCACAACGAACATCCAATAGGTCTCATACACACACAACCCAGGCACGGTGGCGGGATGGGGCGAAGGTTATTGGATAAGCGGAATAGGAAGTGCAGATAAAAAAAGAGAAGCGGAGAGAGTATTAGATCTGCACGCGTAGGCAAGGTAGTCCCCATGCCCCTGATCCAGTGCCAACAGAATCGCATCCCTTCAAATTGCAGTGCTGCGCCGCTCAAAGCGGCTTAGGCAAACATGCCAGGACCAACGAAACGATGCCCAATCTGTGCGACCTTGAAGCCGCTGGCTCTGGCAGCTCGGCATAGACGTCCCGCAGCTCGTCTGCGGGCACGAACGCCTCCTCCAGCAGCTCCTGGCGCCTCTTCAGGACCGTACCGCGCTGCTGCAGCAGCCACGACATGCGGACCAAGCCCACGGGGTGGAGGCCCTCCACGGTGAACGAAAGCGCGTCAAAGAGGCTCGCAGCGTCCGTGTACCGCTTCAGGTCGAAAGATTCCATCGTGCCGGCGCGGGGGGCAGGCTTGCAGCGGCAGAGGGGCGCTCGCGCCTGCTTCCAGACATGCGTCCAGCCGTGGAGCTACGGAGTGGGTTTACATGCACTGTTCTCCCTCCCTCCCTCC